ACTCTGAAATTATGGCCCTCTCAGTTCCAGGGTGCACTCCGCTGACCACAATCACAGTCTCTTGTCCCCTCCAGGTGGAAAGTTAAGTGGCTTCAAGTTAAACGCTCTGACGTATACAAATGAGAGTCGCCCAGGGTTCAGCACTGGTCATCGTCCTGGCGCCTGCCTGATGCCATATCTGTGTATGTTAAGCAGGGCTTGTTTACAAACATACAGCTTAGCCTGTAAACACTCCAAACATCCTGGCAACAAGTGCTGAAAATATATTGCATGTATTTGAGTGTACAGTATGGCAGAGAGGAATTCACGGCTGTGACGGACAAAGATACATATCACTACAGTAGGAATACCTTCAAAACGGTGGCTTTATAGGGGAGAGAATAATGTAATTACCTTCACATTTGTTGGCGAAACTTTTTGCTTTTCAAAATTCCTAACGATCTATGCATCATGAAACTTTCATATGATGTAAAAGACAGCTGGAATAATTAGAAAATAGTAATAATAATAATAAATCAGCGTTGCCTTAATGTTTGTAAAGGTTGAGTCTGTAACAAGTGCAAATCTGGAGAAATATTAGTGTGATTGGTGTTGTTATGGAAGACGTTAAGGGAGCATTAGAGCAGGGGGACCTCATCAGGCTGCGTGCATGACAGCCCAAGCCAGGCAGGTTTTCCTGAATACCCCGTGGCAGCTTCATAGGGTCTCCTGCAATTACAAGCAGGTCAATGAGAAAGAAAGGGAGAGAGAGGGAGAGAGAAAGAGAGAGAAAGAGAGAGAGCTAGACAGGTTTTGCGCTCGAGGAAATGGTCCGGAAAAAGAGAAGGATTACGTTTCACAGCACAGCTGGCCACACCTAGGGCAACGAGTGGAAGAAAGGGAGGGAGAGAGACAGAGAGACAGAGAGAGAGAGAGAGAGAGAGAGAGAGAGAGAGAGAGAGAGAGAGCGAGCTAGAGAGAGAGCAAGAGCGCAATTCTACCTTTTCCTCTTCCCACCCTTTCCTGAGTTCAGCCCTGCATACACCCCGGCCCCAAAAATTATACCAGATGTCACATCAAGAGCAGAAGCCGTGCTGACCTAGGATGAAGAATTCGAGAAATTTTGGAAAATATTTATAGATGTGGCCGAGTCTGGAGCTGGAGGTTAATACGGCCGGCCCTAAATGAGCCACTCTCCCACGGGTTCCCCAACACGCTATAACTCTGCCCGCCTACCCCTTCTGGAACGCCACAGATGAGAGAGAAGTTATAAATGGCTAGAATCAAGACAGCCAAACCCTTTTCCTTCACTTTGATCATGCACCAGCCCAGGTAGGCCCTGAGAGAAAAAAACCTGAGTGCCAAGTGGTTCTGGTGTTGTTTTAACTCCGTGCACTCTTAAACACACCAGTGACCGCAGAAAGAGACACGTATCGCTTCCCTTTTCTACACATAAACAAGCAAACAGTTTTTCCATTTAGTGTTTTTGCATTTCCTCGCAGCCAACTGGGCTAAAAGTCGTCTCAGTGCAGGCGCAATGCATGCTGTTCTGACAGACTGTGTTAAAATGCACAGAGCGTGCTCAGGCTCTGACCAGCCTTGAATGGCAGCCCAGCTCCATTGTGTGCTTAAAGAAAGACATGGAGCACAATGGTGCTTAGGTGAGGGCCTGTTTTTAGAACATGGTTTCCTGCCATCGAGCATGTCTCTCCATTACAAACATCCCAGAGGAAGGTACGGCGGCACACAGTGGAACATAGAGCTTAACCTGGTCTGAAATCTTGAACCAGACCCGAATACACCCTGAAAACACCCTGAAAACATCCTGCACCCAACTTGGCCCAGATCACCAAGTACAATCTAAACCCAACTGCAGCTTTACTAGAAGTTCAATCCCAACTCGACAGCAGCCCGACCAAATTCTGAACCTAACTGCAGCTCCGACAAAATTCTGTGCTAACTCCACATGAAGCAGGTCAACCATCCAAAGACCAACTAAAACTCTACATTACTAATAAAAGCACATGATAGGCACAATTTCAACCTTAATCACTGACAAACAAAACTGAAATGCAATATTATCCTACCTAAAAGTGGCTAAATGCAGGTCAATTAAAAGTGGGAGAAAAAATGGGATGAGCGCTTTAAACCCAACCATGCCCAAATATTTCTGAAATGACATCCAAATTGACCAAATCTTGACATGAATATTTGAGTGCCTACATTTCAAGCTCTAGGGGACTGTAGGCCATTAAGTGCCTTGGGCTGTTAATAGCTTGACTCACCACATGGCCTTCATCTAATGTTGCTTGAACAACTGCACTGCCGACAAGTTTGCCATGTAAGTCTTGGAGCAAAATAAAATTAACCAGCATCATCAATTGAAGAATGACCGAGTGGTTTGGGATGGGATGGGATGGGGGTTGTAAAAGCTTGCCTGGTGGCTCTAGCTGATGCTGTGGCATGGGCAAGAATGTATGTCATCGCTGACCCCTCCTCTCCTGCATGGCCCCCCTGGGGGAAGGGGTGGGGAGAGTGAGTTCCAGGGACGTCCCTCCTTTGCTTTAGTGCACTACTGTATGCTAATGGGTCGGGCTGTGCTGCTCTCTCTCTGGAGGATCTCCATGGGAGGCAAGTCTCCTCAGACAGCGATCTGCCTGACTGCTCACAATCATTCGGCTGATAGAAGACAGCGCCATTCTCCAGTCATCCACAGTGATAACAGAGGAGTTTGCTGGCCGATGTTTTAAGGAGAGTGAATGGGCATTAAAGTGAAACTTTGCACATTTTTGTGTTACCTTAAATGCTTTTTCAGTCAAGACACGCTTGGCTTCTTTATGAAAAATGTACAGACAAAATTGGCTTTTATGTATGAGGCATAAGATTTCTAGAGATGAGATATAAGCTTAGGGCTTAAAGAAAAACAGTTTGAACTCAATTTTTGTGGAATTTATGCTTTAAAATACCAGTGATATTCTGGAAGACAGAATAATGAGGCACTTAATCAACTTAAACCAGACTGAAGAGAGAGAGTAAGAGCGAGCTAGCGAGAGAGAGACAGACAGAGAGAGAGAGAGAGAGAGAGAGAGAGAGAGAGAGAGAGAGAGAGAGAACGATAGCAGGACATCCACACAACAGATGGAACCCCAAGCATCCAGCCCTTGCATGGGCTATTCCCACAGCGTGCGCATGAACAAAGCCCTTTCAATCAGACATTCTTCAAGTGGCCCGCAACCTTGCAGGCCCCCTCCCCAAATCCCCATCTAAAAGAGTCTCCTCTCTTTCACAGCACCCCCCACAACATAAAGCAGGGCAACCACCCTTTCTTTAACATCACAAAGAACATGTTTGTTTGTGCCCTGCTTTTGATGCGCGCAATCATCGGCAGCGCCATCTCTTAAACTGAGAAGGAAGTCAGTTTAAACAGGAGATTCGCTCCATATGCAGTTTATGCAATTCTGTGTCTACATGAACCACATGTGAAAGCAAATCTCGTTCTGGTTTCTTTGAAAGTGCCTGTAAAGCAAGCACTGTAAAATTGCGCGTCTACATTTTCACCTTTTTTTTCCCACTAAGAAGAAGCATGAAAGTGGTTAAGTGGGAGGAGTGGAAGGAGTAAGTGCATGAGGTTTTGGAAAATTTGGAACCTTCTGTCCACATTTTTCTATCCACAGCCTGGATTCATAGCAACAGCAATATCATCTCAAAGTATCTGGATCTCACACTGCTGCTGAAGCTCTTCCTTCTACCACCTGCTGACCAGTTCTTCTTCAACTCCCAGAGCTGTTGCCTGTTGAAAGATCAGCAGTGCTTTCAAGGGCGATTCCCCCCAGTTCTCCTAAACAGCTCAGCCCTGCTACTCTAAACCACAATTCTTCTCTGCATTCCCACGAACAAAAGGACGGAGGGGCACTCGACCTGCCTCTCCGCTCAGAGAGAAAGTTGATATGATGCCGTGGCATGCTCTGAAAAGAGATGAGCCATCTGGTGAAAGGGGGATTTGAGGAGAGGGGCTCCTAGAAGAATGCCAAACGCTGGGCTGAGGCTCACTAATCCGAGGCCTTGAGCACTCGCTAGCTCTGGGAAAGCTCGCTCTGATGGCTTCCAGACACTCCAACAATATGAGGGAAGTCGAGTCGTCGACACCCTGGGACTTCACACATCTTCAGCGTGGTGAAGCCCACATTTCGCCTGTTATACGCGCCATAGAGCAGAATGTGACCATCATGTGCTTGTCTGATAACAAAGCTGACCATTCAAACTCCAAACTCTGGAAGATCATTAAGGGTCAGTTGAAGAGCATCCGGACATAACCCTAAACCTTATGGGTGAAGATGGTACAGCTAAACAATGAAGGCAAGCCTTCAAAACCTAAACCAAAAACCTCCACAACATCTGTAAAAACAGCTGAGAACATGAATAATGTTTCCTCCACTTGTTTTTGTAGCTGCTCATTATTTTACTCAAAAGGTCCCTTGTAATATAATGGGAGGCTGCCTAAAGTTGTAAACACAGACTGATAGCCAAGCCACCAGTAGGAATGTAAATGTGTGATGGTTTTACAAGCCAATGCCGTTTAACACTCCCTTTAATAAGTCAACGAGTAAAACAGTGGTGCCATCTGTGCCCACCCCTATCATCTGAGATAAGGGCTTTCTAACGGTACTTACTTCTGTTTAAAGAGATAACAATGCAAAACACATTTAAACAAGGCTGACAACTGGGATAGTTCTGAGCAGGATTATTTTGCAGAAGGATATCATGCATCATATTTGAATAACAAAAGCCAGTAACAGTTTGACCCTTATTGCTTTGTTTACAGTCGCTTCTTGGCAGTAGGATAATGCAATAGCATGAAAGCTGGGTCTAAACTAAAGCTGGTGAACAGCAACACTGTTTATCTACATTTGACTCCATCCCAGATGTTGCACTGCTGTACTGGAACCAAACAGTGGAAGTGTCATGCACGAATCTGGCAACGACTCTACTCATTTTCCTGAACGGCTGATGTGAACACTCACCTAAGATAAGACAGAGGATGTCGAGAGCTATCAAAAGTTTCCTCTTGCTCTTGTTGATGCTGCTGCTGTTTAACGTCGCTGTTCCACCGTTTCTTGTTTCGAGTGCCATTGCTTTCTCATATATGTACTTTGGCATGTGAGAGATCCGTCCTCCTTGCTTTGCTTTCAGAAAAATCTCAGTCCACACACGTTGAGGGACACGATGAAAACTCGGAAAAGAGCGCTTCTGTTAGGATGGTGGGGAGGCGAGGTCCAGACTGTTTGAAGAGAAAAGTCCTTAAAAGTTGGTGGTGAGCGCTGAAGTGAAGTCCTGCTGACTCCGTCCGGAACGCGAAGAGCAGTTTTTAAACGAATGAAGTGAATCACCTCACTGTGTGGCGAGTCGTCTTGGGCTATCAAATGAAGACAATGGCCCCTCGTTTAATGTCCTTTCAGTGAGTGAAAACTTGAGTCCAGTTCGCTTCTGTTGGAGGGCTGTTTTGGGGGGACGAGAGCGGCGTTTTAAAAGCGCTCGAGCTCCGGCTCCAGTTTTAAGACTCCCTTCCTACGTCTCCTCCTCCTCCTCCCCTTCGACTCTTTCGTGTGGAGAGCTTGAACAGGCTCAGCCCCCTTCCTCTAGACCCACGCTCTTCGCTACCTGCATGCTTGTGTTACACATACGGCCTCTATTCTAAACGGGCCGGAGGAGTTTTTCCCACCCGTATTCCGAGATGCCCCGCCCGCCCCCACGCGTCGATTGGATGGTGCCGATTGGCTTGTTCGTTCTCAAAGTATCCCGCCTGAGCAATTAGCCAATCATATTGTGAAAGGGCGGGGTTTGTCTGAATACGGGTGGAAACTTTGGAAATCGGCAACACAAACGCGCCAAGATCTCTGAAGTGAAATGCTGAATGATACGTGCAGAAGATTGACGTCCATTCTCAATAAAATCACTGTGTAATAAAAATACGAAGACTTTTACCTTCGACCTTAATGTTAAAAAAATCCGACACAACCGATTAGAACAACAATTTGTCTCATGCGGTTTAGTTTAGTAGATTACGTGTCAAACAAAAAATAAAAAGTTACGAGCCTCTTAGAACAGTGGTGCCCAGTCCTGGTCCTGGAGATCTACCACCCTGCAGAGTTCTGCTCCATACCTAGTCAGTCACACCTGATCCGTGTTATGAAGGCCTTCAGGGGCATCTGAATAATAGAGCCAGGTGTGTTGGATCTGAACTGTCCAGGGTGGTAGATCTCCAGGACCAGGACTGGGCACTCCTGTCTTAGAATATAATCATAATCTACAAAGAAAAAACACACCACCAACAACATTATTACTATACATACATACATACATCATCTAAACCGCTTATCCTTCTGGGTCGCGGTGGAGTGCTGGAGCCTATCCCAGCTGTCACTGGGCGGAAGGCAGGATACACCCTGGACAGGTCGCCAGTCCATCACAGGGCAACATTATTATTATTATTATTATTATTAGTAGTAGTAGTAGTAGTAGTAGTAGTACTAGTAGTAGTAGTAGTAGTAGTAGTAATGTTGTTGTCGATGATGATGATGATAAATAACAACAAAACAACAACAACAGCAACAACAACAATAATAATTATAAATAAAAATAATAATAATAATGTACCGACAATACTGTTATATTAATGCAAGTAAAAGAGTTTGGCGATGGTTTGTGGTGTCTATAAAACAGAGCTCGGTAATGATTTTTGTGTGTGTATATAATTATTTTCCCGCTCTCAGCGCTGATCCGGTCCTGCCATCTAGTGGTCAAAGTGATGTAAGACAGCAACGTAATCGACACCTTTACTTTGGCCGGCCGTTATTTATTCCACATTATTTAGGATCCGCTGTTTGCTCGATTCTTAAAGGGATAGGTCAATATATATATATATATATATATATATATATATATATATATATATATATATATATATATATCTCCCCCATTCAGTTAATGAGAGGGACTCGAATTATCAGGTCTGCTGAGGAAAAACGCCAGGACTTGGATTAGGAATTTCATGTAATCTAAATCCGTAGATTTAAGAAAAGTATTAAACAGACCGGTGATAATTTCCCAGCACAACTCAGCATTGTCCGGTAGCGGTCATTGGGGTCGCGTTATCACGCTTTAAATCACACTCCTTCTGAACGCACTCGTGCGCAGGTGTGTCTTCGTGTTAAGTGTAATGTTTTGGTCGCCCCGCCCCTCTTCTCTCCTCTCTTCTCCGCTGTTCTCCATCAGTCAGCACTCTCTCTCTCTCTCTCTCTCTCTGTCTCTCTCTCACTGTGTGAGTCTGCTCTGCCCGCACCGGCCGAGGGTCTGATTTTAGAAGCGGATATTCTCCAGTCACGCTGATCTAAGGTCAGCCGCGAGCAACCTGAAGCCGCTCGTGCCCGGCGGAGCCCCGCCCTCTCCGCTCTCCGGCCGAGGCGAGCAGTGAGCGAGCGGCCCCGCAGAGTAAAATGGCCGAGAAGCAGAAGCACGAAGGCAGGGTGAAGATAGGACACTACATCCTGGGAGACACGCTCGGAGTGGGCACCTTCGGCAAAGTGAAGAGTTAAGTCGCCTCGGTTTGCTCTGGGCTTTCTCTGATATGGCGGGTTTTGGGTCTGTGAACGCGTGTTTATGTTTTTTCCGTGACCGTTAGCGTTGAACTTGCCGGCGGAGAGTTTACGCAGTTTACGCAGCACTGAGTTGCGCAGCTGCATTCAGAGTAAACGGCTCTTGTGCACAGAACCGGCGTAGTGCTGTTGCGGAATACGAGGCCACAGAGCTGGGCTTTCTCAGAATGTAGACGCTGCGTTACTCTGGGGCTAAGTTTAGGGGGCTGGGGAATATTTACTGAGCTGAACAGCACGCCTGCGGGCGTAATTACTTTACGAGCATGCCATCATTTACGACCGTGTCAGCTGTTATATAAGCATAACATGTAATTTAATTGCATGAGAGTCTATGTAGTAGCCTGTTTTTGTCAGATCTATTTCTGCAATATTAACAAAGGTAGACAGCACATTATTATTATTATTATTATTATTATTATTATAAAAACTTATTATGGCAACCTCGTAACATTCAGTCTAGACTATCATTATCTATTCTACCTGCATTTTTAAATACACCCACCTCTAAGACTATAATAGCAAATCAATAAGGCTGTGCACACTGTAGCTTATTACATCAACACCGCTGCAACCCTCAGTGTGACGGTTTTCCGTTCAGCTGCTAACACTTCTTTAATGCTTGTGTTATCATGCCTACTGATTAGCTGGGAGTGCGGGCTAATAACACAGTAATAATTAACTGCTGTAATAAGACAGTAATAAACGCTCTCAGGTAGGTGATGAGATCGGAATCAGATAAGATCACAAGTGCTGCTCGCAGTGAAATGGTGACGAAGCCGTTTATTACGCCCAGCCGGACATCATATTATGTGCTTTCAGTGACCTTGAGGAGCAGTAAAGGAATTTGGGGTCAGCACGAGCCTCAGTGGCCACCGAGAGCTAAAGCAGCTCGCTGCGCTCGCCTGCTCTGTTGACGTCTGAGTGACGTCACACGAAAACGGCGAGGCCCAGGGTTTACGCTTCTTGCGCCCGAGGGCAGTTTAATGTGAAGTCAGACGTACGCAAACGTTGTCAAGTTAAACGTCTTATTAATTTTGTAAGTGAAAATAAGTTAACACGTCTTATACGGGAGGAATTTAAATATGTAATTCTCTGCAGATTTTTAGCGCACAATTTTCATTCATTTGGGAAAAATTAAAATATAATGTATACAATGTGCTATCACGTCAGCACAGGCCACATTTTGTTTTATTTTTTTCTAACATCTTCAGCAAATAAACAGTAATTATACATTAAAATGTGCTGAGTGTGTTCTCTGTAGAGGATGTTAACTTATTTTCACTTAGAAAATCAACAAAACTAATGTTTTCGAAAAGACAGTGTTATACTGGTCTTAACAATGCAATTTTAATTTGATTTTTAATTTTAATTTTTAAGCATGTTCATGCTGCTACAAGCCTTTTTTTATTCTGATGGGCTTTTATTGTGGAAAACTGAAAACCTGCTTTTTTTTTAAATAAAACACTTGTAAAGTCTCAAAACATGTCATTCACTCTTTACTCCATATGGTCGATACAGGGAAACGTGACAAACTTATCTGCATATACACATATATCATATTCAGCCTACAGCAGTTTAGCCTCATCCATTGATGTTGAAGTTATAAGGAGTGTTTTGGCTCAGACAGAGTTTTTTTATTAATTTTGGGCCCTTTAAAGCATGGTTTTAAGATTTAATATTTAGGAAACATTCTCTGTAGGATCACAAGCCAGAACAATAGAATGGTGACAGCTCTGCTTTGAGGTAGAAAAGTGCCATACATTCATGCACAGTAAAGAAATAAATGTAATAGAACTGAAGGTTTTGGTGTTCTTGCATTTTGTGCATTAAATAAGACATGTAATCTCAATACAGAGCATACAGAATCCATTCATTCCATGTAGAACTGTTACATACTGGCTTTTATGCAACCTTTATAAAAGCGTTCAAATATATGCCCTTCAGGGGGAATCAAAGATGATAAACATGGTTTATTACATGGGACATTCAAGAACTCAGCTGATTTTGAATCCAAACATCCACACATCTGGTTGCATTAAACTACTTTGGAAGCCTGAGTGCATTGCTTCTTGCTTTTCTCTCTGTCACATTATTTTTACCCACTCTATCACACTGACGTCCCTCAGGCATACTGTAAAGCTCAAGATACGCAAAGCAGTCAAACTCATCATGCCAAAATGTGCTTCCATTTCTGCGCTGCTTTTGTGTGTCTTCATTTAATAAGTTTGGGAATGAATATGTGGGTGATTTGAAGCTCTGTGCTGGTGTAGGCAAAGCCCATGGGCTAGACTCGGTCAATCCTGCATGCCTGGGGTGTCAGCGGAGTTAAATGTCCAACCAGGGACACATTTGTTCACATGTTGGGGGGCGTGTTTTGTAAAGGACAAGCTTACGGGAACATGCACCGCTTTGTCTGGACTGCAGCCTAACCTGCTGCGGTTTTGTCTTTGGTTTGGACTGTAACAATATTTCAGAATCGTTTTTTTTTAATGTCTGTGGTTGAACTAATTTGCAGATGACTGTTCAGCAGATTTTGCCAGTCTGTGTAAAACCATTTGGAGTTAACTTTCCCTGCAGGCCAGGCCAACTCGTACTCATGAGAGCCTGAAGTAGAGATGGCATAATATTTTTTGTTGTTTTCAGATACCGCCACCAATATTGAGTATCAGCTGGTACTGATACAAATCTGATATTCTTTCCTTTTAAAAACTATTAAGCTTTATAATGAGCTTTTTTAACTTAAGATGAATGAATGCTCATCCTTCTCAATCACTGCCTCACAGGACGAAATACCTAGCCTACACATGACGTTGTGACAGTGTGGACCCTTTCATAGAGGTTGAATGGAAAGCTAGGAAAAAAATGCATATGTCATATTGCTACAACTTGGAGGTATTTGCCTTATTCAGTGATGTCAATAGGAACATCATTATACAGCAAAAAAGAAGAGATACTAAAACCATCTGTTCTCTGGCACTGATTTATTTAATGCTCCCAATGAAATCTGATGGGTTGTGTGAAATATTTTTTGCTGCATCTGTCCACCTTAAGGTAGAGCTACCATCATTCTGTTGCATAAGAGTTACTTTTGCTCATCTCTTAGCATGCTGTGTTTAAAAAAAACTTTTCATTCAGAATCTCACTACAACTAGAATGAGCTATGATACTTTGCAATGATCTGTCAAAGTACAAGTTACTCATGTTCAGGGGATATTTCTGTAGAGTAACCATAAGATAATCCACTTCAATAAGGAGGGCAAAATAAACAACTGTGCATGACCTGACAGACCACCAAAACGGTCACCATTAGATAAACAGTACTTAAAGCTTTCATTTTTTGAGAGAGAGGAAAAAAAGCTCTGTTCTTGCTTCAGATATATATAAAAAAATACACAGATGTTTCTGTCCATCCTTCCTGAGAAGACAACTCAATGGTTCTCAAAGGATGTGTAGCTGTCAAGAAGCTGTTACTGAGAAAAGGAAACAGACAAAAGTGAGGAAAAGTTGTACTAGACATCTGAAATGTGGGGGAAGGTTTTATGGACTGATGTGTCTAAATATGTAGTTGGGATTACTTGGATCATAAAAAGCAGAAAGTGCAACCAACTTCTAAGACTGAACTGGGGAAGAATATTCCTGCAGATTTCTTTGAAAAGCTGAAAGCATGGGCTCCCAAGTGGTGTAACCAACTCAGCATTGGCTCTATCAGTAGGAGTTTGCGAGTTGGATCCCTGGTGATGTTACAGCCATCCATGGTCAGGAGTCCAAGAGAGCACAATTGGCCTCACTCTCTCCGGGTGGGTAGGATGGCCCCCTGTCTCCCCAGCACAGTGCTAACCAGTGCAGATATTAGCCAGCATAACAGACCTGGCAGTTAGCATCCTCCTCCGAGTGCGTTCAGCTGTCCAATTATGTTGTGTTAGCGGCAGTTTGAAGAGATGTCGTGGTGCTTCATTGGTCATGGAGGAAGCCTGTGCTAGCTTTCATCCTCCTAGCGCTGATGATATCGCGTGATTGGGTGATTTGTTAAACATCGTCAGAAGCACATTTGATTTAACATTACAAAGCATTCATTAGCGAAACCAGGTGTCTGATGATAACGACAAATAATGCTGTTTGAAATGGTTAAAAAACACTGGCATACATAAAATCACTACTTACTGTATTAACTGTATTTGTATATATTGTAATTTTAGTGTATTGGTGTCAAATTCTTAATGGCCAAATGAATTGCTTTTAAAATCTAATTTACTAAAATGTCTAAAGTTTTGTCAGTGCAGTACGTTATGTTTTCAGCTTTTTTCCTGATGCTGAAAAATCATAATAATAATGTATACTTAATGGTCATTTTGCCTGAAAATTAAATAAATGAAAGGTGATCTCTGACTTTTATATGATGCTGTTTAAAGAGCCCATTTTAACCCTTAAAATGTATAGTTATTATTGCTGTTTGCCCTCAAGTTATACTATATAATTATATTTTTATTACATAATGAGTTACATAATTACATTTAATTTACATTTTGTATGTATCTGATTTATTGGTTTCAACATAAAATAAATGAAAAAAGAATGTCACAAATGCAATGATAGTTTTGATCTCCACAAAGACTGGACACACAGCAATAACTCCATTAAATTCAATTGATTAATAATAATAATAACAATAATAATACATTTCTTAACAAAACATCTGTTGTGTTGGTTTTTAAGGAACGTTTATAATACACACTTTTCCACTTGTAACAGTATTGAGGCCGTGGAAAACGATAAAACACACTACCGCTGCAGTTTCATGGCACTTGACATTGTTTTCAAGTAGTGAAAACAGCACAGTCACTTGAGTAACATCTTGCCAAGTACTGATAGTATCAAGACTTGCACATCCTTGATCAGGTTCAGAGCATGTCATGTTTGTCTTTAGGGATGAGAAGCTGAACACTAAAACAATGAGTTCCTCTTTTCCTCTGTTTTGTTATGGCTTAAAGCGGGGTGTCGCTGCCCTGTGGTGCAGCAGTCTGATTTCTTTGGATTCATACTGATCTTTCATCAGCTGTGTTTAAAAAAGCTGTTGGTGGTCTTGTTACAGCTGAGTTTTCATTGAGTGTGTGTGTTCGTTTTGCTTAACAGTTGGAGAGCACCAGCTAACAGGACATAAGGTTGCTGTTAAGATCCTGAACAGGCAGAAGATCCGCAGTCTCGATGTGGTTGGCAAAATCAAACGAGAGATCCAGAACCTCAAGCTGTTCCGGCATCCGCACATCATCAAGCTGTGAGTAGAAGAGAGTGCGCGCACACACACATACACACATATACACACACACTTTTAATATATGGTGAAACCTCAGCCTTCAGAGCACAGAAAGTTGGACCTGTGCTCTCTAGCTGTTTTCTATAATGGGAGATTAGATTAAATAGGTCCATGTTTCATTTGCAATAACAGTCATTTACTTGTCCCACTGTACCAGTGTGAGAAGCTTAAACTCTTTATTGGAACCTCTTTAACTCAGAGAGATGGTCAGTAGCTTGAAACTTTAAAAAGTGTTTCAGCCAGAACACCTACATATTTCTTAATACTCAAAATGGGATAAATATTAGAGATGTAAGTTTTGGGGATTTGGAGACCTCTCTGGTGGAAATATGTAATTGCATGCAATGTGTGGACGAACATTTTGTAACATCGGTTGTGCTTTGGGCCCCCACAAGCGGATGAATCTGATGACTGACTGCGCTATAAAAGTGTTCAGAGAGAACTCAGTCAAAACTTGGTGAAGGACGTGCCTTCCAAGGATGTAAGCGAATGATCTACTATCGTCATCATATCATCAATATAATTTTGATTTTGCATTTGAGACCTAAACATCGAGCAGGACCTTCTCTTTGAGTCTGTCTGTGTGATGGCAGTGTGTCAAGATGCATGATGTGGCCCTAAAAACTATACGAAATCTGGCCCGACACCTCTGACTTCTACATGACTATTTCAGGTGATACAGGGTGACTTACAGCAGTGCAGGAGCACCATATCGCTGCTGGGAGAAAACCTTGTATCTCCATTTTTGTCGTTTTTCAGTTTTTGACAATTTGAAAATGCCTGTTGTCCTTTACATTATGTGTAAATTTCATAAAAAATGGACCAAAAGAAATGGCCCAATATGACTTACATTAAAAGTGAAGTAGGTTTTTTTCCTTTTCCTGTAACGTTATGAATTTTAACAAAAAAGGCTTATATTGTGCAGCTTTAGATAATCTCTCAATTTAACACAATAGTTCCTTTGATATAAAATGTCAGTATTAGAGATAGGAATTGTTTTATCTCCATGATGTTCCATTTTTTAATGAATAAAATGCAATTTAAATATGTTTACTTTAAAGATATCGACATGGCACTTTGCAGCTGAAATGTAGTATAAATTAAATGTATAAATTAATGTAGCTACATATAGTGATATATAGGCTATATATAGTAATAATACATAAAACTAATATAAACCCTTTATGCCACCCCCTATTGGTAGAGATTGATCAGTAGAGATTGAGGTCTTACATTTTAAAGTGGAAAAAAATGGAGAATGCTAAAAACACCACCACCATCTAAACCCACATGTCAATATATAGGAAACTGTATATACATGCGATTTATGAACTGGTTTTATGTTGTCTGCCACTACATAAAAGGAATAGCATGCTGTGGTGTGATCCAGTATCTGGTTACAGTAACACGTTCAGACATATTCAACATCAAATTGTAATCAGCATATTTTTGATGTCTGAAAGTTTTGTATCACTGTAAGAAAAAACTTTAAAAAGTGATTTTTTTTTGTTTTAGCCAAATTATACTCTTTTCATGTCATAACAGGCAGGTTGACAGTGTTCTTTGTGCTGACATATTGTTAAACTAATGTATAATATGTGGAGAATGACTGCTGTCTGAAGATGACTCCACTGACTCCCGCACGGGCCGATCCAGGTTACAGGCCAAGGAGATAAAAAGGCTACGTAATCTCTTTAGACTACCTTTTATGTCTGCTGCCTGCTCTCTCTCTCTCTTTGTTTGTCTCTCTCTTTCTGTGCAGTCAGAGCAGATGAGAGGTCTGGGCTGTAAAGAAGCCCTTTATCCCTCGCCTTTATCCCAACAGATTCCACACTTCTTCCCCTATTTGTCGCAGCAGCTCTTCAGTCGCTCTCGGCCTCTTTCCCGCTCCTCAGCACACTCGTGCAGATCAGTGCGAGGCTTCCCTACACGTCCACCCTGCTGGGAATAGCTGTCTCCTGCCATCAGGACAGCGGAAAGCTGGCGATGAATAAGAGGGGACAGAAGCGCGGGTGCCCAAGAGGAGGGTTTTTCCCCTAGGAAATAAGGATGCACCCGTCAAGCTTTACCATGACTATGCATATTGCAAACTTGCAGCAGGGACCCTCTGTCACATGCAGTCCCTCCAGGGGAAATGACATCAAACAGGCAACAGCCAGAGGAAAGAGCACGCCACGGCTAGGCCTGCGCCTGACTGAACATGGGGGTGCTACAAGAGCTAAAGGACAGGCAATGTTGCGAAAAGGCTCCTGTCAGATCACACTGGCAGTAACGTTCATTAAATACATGATTTGACCTTTTACTCCGCATGACCTCTCAGTGTGCATACAGCAAGCAGCCATCAATGCCATTTACTCCAGCAGTGCCAAAAGATGACAGCAGCTGCTGTCAAGGCAATTCACCATTAAAGGCCAGAAGTATTACTGCCATGTTGCTATACAGTTGTATGCAAATGTCTGGTCAAATTACATGTTTTTTTTTTTGATTTTCTAAGTGAAAATAAGTGAACACATCATCTACAGAGAACATACTTCTGCACAGTTTAGTGCACAACTACTGTGAATTTGCTGAATTTAACCAAAAAAATATGGCAAGTGATGGCACATTTTATATTTTATATTTTGCTTTTTATGTTATAACATGTTAAAAATATAAGTTTAAAATTAGCAGAAAAACGGTGAATTTAAGTTTGCTCTCCCTGTAGAGAATGTGTTAATTTTTCATTGAGAAAATCAACAAAACATAATTTTACCAGGAATGTTTAAACATTTACATATGACAACAGTCATTACATAATACATAGTTACATTATCAGTTACATTTACATATGATTTACATTCTGTATCGACACTTTTGAGTCTGCACTTTTTCTGTTTGTTTCAGTGTCACAAAAGACAAAAACATACACCATGCAGAATAACTTTTTCAGTTTCATATCATAATAGATCTTCTACTTCAAACAGAAATATAGTATTGACTGATAGAATCTGCACTTTAAACACTTTAAAGCCAGAAATAATGAAACAAAATAAGAATAAATAAGAAGACATGTTTCTGAAATATTCAAATTCATCATCAAGTACCTAGAATGGTTAAGAAAGTTGGTTCACTGTGAGATGGTCTTTGGTAGTCTTTTACCGGTCAAGTGGAGGTGGGTGCAGATACTATGTTGAGTATATGGAATTAACCACATTTGGATCCATATCGCTGCTGTCAAAAGAAAACCTCATATCTCATTTTTCAGTTTTTAATTTGAAAGTACCTGTTGCCCTTTACATTGTGTGTAAATTTCATGAAGAATGAAGAATGAAAATGACTTGGAAAAAGTCTGGTTCCATTGACTTACATTAAAAGTAAAGTAGGTTTTTTCCTTTTCCTGTAAAGTTACCATTTTAGAGATACGAGGCTTTCTTTTGACAACAGCGATATGCTTTGTATTTCATTCAAATGTGCCAAACCTAAACTGTGTTGGACCCAAACTAAGACTTTATGGACTATATGGTCCAAAACTAAAGACTGCCTATACTATGACGTATGTATCGTCATTCGGACCGGTTTTTGAATGCAGATGTATATTTATTACAACTTTCCAATCATGCATTAAGACATTATAATTGTAATATGAATGCCCATAAATATAATGCAATAAAGCACTGTATTTTTTTCAGTCCAATATTGCAAATAACTCTTCCTTACACCATCTGTAAAATATATTACTGCGTTAAAACAACAGTTGCAGATATATGACAGTTTCTTATCATTTCATGCATTGTGACTGATGTACCTCCATCTGTGTGTGTGTTGCAGGTACCAGGTGATCAGTACCCCTACAGACTTCTTCATGGTGATGGAGTATGTGTCTGGAGGAGAACTCTTTGACTATATCTGTAAACATGGGAGGGTAAGAATCACTTTTCTGTACTATTCACTGTATGTTCAAGGCCTCTGAATGGCAATATGTGTTGCTCTATATCAATTTCTGCCTACTTTATTAAGCACACCTGCACTGTTTGTCCATTTTATCAGGTCCACTTACTATATAGGTGCACTTCACAGTTCTACAATTATAGACTGCAGTCCATCTGTTTCTCTGCATAATCTGTTAGTCCCATTTACCCTGTTTATCAGTGGACAGGCCCCTCACAGGACCACCACAGAGCAGGTATTATTTGGATGGTGGATCATTCTCAGAACTGCAGTGATACTGACATGACAGAGGTATGTTAGTGTGTGTTGCCCTAGTACAAGTGGATCAGACACAGCAGTGTTACTGGAGTTTTTAAACACGGTGTCCTCTCACTGTCCACTCTATTAGACACTCCTACCTTGTTGGTCTACCTTGCAGATGTAAAGTCAGAATCAATAGGTCATCTGTAGCTGCACAGTTTGTGTTAGTCATCCTCTTGTCTTTCATCAGTGGTCAGTTTATAGCATCAGGACATTGCTGGATATTTTAAGACTATTCTCAGTCCAGCAGTGACACTGAGCTGTTTAAAAACTCAAGTAACACTGCTGTGTGTGATCCACTCTGTGCAGCGCACACACACACACACACACACCCCAACATGTCACTGCCATGCCAGTGTCACTGCAGTGCCGAGAATGACTCACTACGTAAATAATACCTCTTACAGTCTGTTATTGTCGGAGTGCATCTATATGATAAGTGGACCTGATAAAATGGACAATGAGTGTAAATCAGGAGTGTCAAACTGGGTGCCTTCCAGGCCACAGCTCTGCAGAGATCAGCATTTCCTTCCTCTGAGACTCCCTATTCAATTTATAACGGGTTTGCTAATTGGCCGATGAGTTGAATGGTATATTTATTCAGGAGGAACACTGAATTCTGTGGCCTGAAAGGAACCCAGTTTGACACACCTGGTTTATTTACAAGGTAGGTGTACATAATAAAGTGGCCAGTGAGTGTATATATTTTATACAATTTAAATTATAGGGATAATTTAATATTAGTGAAGTACAGTTTCTTTATTCTACAACATGAACAAATAAAAGAATGTCATGACTTGGAACCTGCTTTGATACGCTTAACTATGTAGTCCAGATTAGCCTTGTACCCTGGCTAACCCAAGACAGCCGTTGGGTCATGCACGTCCAATGACAGGCTGACTATGTAAACTAATTATGGACTGGGTCAGTGGATTCAAGGTTAGCTTGTGTATGTATATATATATATATTTAGTTACAGTAGTATGCAAACAGTTGGGCACCCCTGGTCAAATTACATGTTTTGTTGATTTTCTAAGTGAAAAAAAGAACACAACCTCTAGACTTCTGCACATTTCAATGTTAAGGGAAAAAAGAAGAAGTGCTGATTGATGGTTAAGCAAAATTGTAGAGGTTGGATGGTAAAATGTTATTCATTCTGCTCATAGCTATGATCTCCATTTTGGTAAATGTTTTGTTCCATAAAAATGTTATGTTAACAAGCAGCCTTATTTATTTTTCATCATCACTGGCAAGAAAGACATTATGGCACTGGAATTGAATGTGATTGATATTTCTGCAGTAATTAGGGTGTGAGAGATGTGTTTATTAATTTATCTGCCTCTACAGGGCATATAATTGTCTTTCTCAAACGCTCTCTCTCACTGCAGGTGGAGGACAACGAGGCACGGCGTCTGTTCCAACAGATCATATCAGCAGTGGACTACTGCCACAGACACATGGTGGTACACAGAGACCTGAAGCCAGAGAATGTGCTATTGGACGGCAGCATGAATGCCAAGATTGCTGACTTTGGTACGTAGAGAGAGAGTGTAAGTTGCTAAGCAGCTTGCAGTTTTGATGTCCACTCTGGAACTCTGTTAACCCTGAAAAGTTGAGGGTGATATTTTGCTATCGCAAGTGATAAAAGCATGGTGCAACTGGGCACTCTTAGTTGTAGCTCACTGAAACAAATGGAGAAATTCTGCCAAAAAGGTCAAACTTTAAACTTTCATAAGTAGTAAAGGAGATACTTTATTAGGGTTTGAATTAGATGAAATGTAATAATAGTCATATAAAAGTAATATAAGTAGTAAAAAAGTAATACATGTAATAAAAGTCTCAATGTCTTTGCCCTTTACCTTTATGGAAATAGCAATAAAGACAGCTATTATAAAAAAGAGATACTTAGGTGAGCTCAGAGTCTGTCTTATAACAACATCTAACAACATTCTGATGCAGACATGAGGGATGTTACTCACCTCTGTCCTTCATTATTATTATTTTATTCTTATCCTAAGAACAACCTCTTATTTTACTAAAATAGGGTTTCTGGTACAATGGCATTTTTTGCAGTGGACACCTGTCTGCGTATAGACATACAAATCCTTCCGAAATGATGGGCCTTCCCTTTGTTATTTTAGAAAACACAATTTGCATTACAATTAAAACACTTGGAATGTCCCTGAACCATACAATATCATTGCATTCTGAAGGCACAGCACTTCAAGAAAGAGCTTTTTTTGTTGACCTTTTTGTTGACTTTATTTAGGGACAAAAGCATGGTCCATTTGATGTTGAGCGCAGTTGTCTTGTGTTTTCTTTTAGGCTTGTCAAACATGATGTCAGATGGGGAGTTCCTGAGAACAAGCTGTGGATCTCCTAACTATGCTGCTCCAGAGGTCATCTCTGGAAGGTAAGAGTCCATGACCTCTTGACCCTATCGCGTTCTTAATCTGTAAGCAAGACTGACAGATTACACAGGGCTGCTAGTTTACTTGGTTGCTTAGTGGTCTGTCCTGCAAAAGAAATAGACATTCAGTCCATCATATTTAATTATTGTGCGTTATTATGTGATCTGTTTTGACGATTATTTTCGTCATACTACTGATGTCATGCTCATGTTTCCAAAAGTGAAGCTGGACCTCCTCTCATACCACGATCATAAAATTCTTTAAATCATCAAAGTGTGATGAATGTGGTCAGGCTTATTTTTACAAATGCCACAACTGTACTGACTAAAGAGGATGAGAGTGACCAAACAGGCTTGACCGCTTGCTGGCAAGAGGCAAAAGCCTCAGTAATCATTCAACCAGTATAAGTAGTTTTGCTGTACTATTTAAATGCAATTACATAATTTATTACATAGTTAAATAAACAATTACATTAGGTCTGTACTCACCCCCCCCCTTTGTTTTGATGTCAAACAATGACATGACAAAACTCGTCTAAAGGATGTTTTTTTCTTTCTGCAAAGCAAAAACTGTTCCTGAGAACAAGCGGTGTACATATAACAATAATATTTGTACCACAAATGTGGTACTGATGTTAAAGTACCAATTCATTTTGTGAAAGGAAAAATAAAAAGGTTTGGTTTGGTGAAGCGCATCATTCACTCACCAGTCCAAAGAGTCCGTATATAGAAAATAAGCCGCAAAAACAGCCTATTTTGATCTATTGTTCTTGTGATGTCACAAAACCCAGCACATTTGCATTTATCCACCTATTCAGCCTACAACAGTTTAGCTCTGCCCATTCACATTGAAGTTATAAGGAATGTTTCAGTCTGTTTTCAGACTTTTTTTTAATAAAGGCAGCAAATTAGAATAGAACTCACTTACATATGTCTGTGTAGGGATAACGGATAAAGAGAGGTTGGAAAATGATCATTTATAAATTAATTACAGCGGTTCTGGTACATAAACCAAAACATCATAAGTGGACCTGGGGGGGGGATACAAGAAGAATGTAGGATGTGGGCCTTTTAAAGTTCAGAATCTTCACTTTTGATGGTGTTTCTCTGCTTGTTTCAGCTACGACTGAGAAATAATACAAATATATGTATTTTAAATTTGACTTCTAAGGGTTAATTTGGTAAAATGGTTCCTTTAAACACACATATCCTTAGTCATATGCACACACATTCCTCACCTGTGTACTGTATGGTCTTCTGCAGACTGTATGCAGGTCCAGAGGTGGATATCTGGAGCTGTGGGGTGATCCTGTACGCTCTGCTGTGTGGCACGCTGCCCTTCGATGATGAGCATGTCCCCACGCTCTTCAAGAAGATCCGTGGAGGAGTCTTCTACATCCCCGAGTACCTCAACCGCTCTGTGGCCAGCCTGCTGATGCTTATGCTTCAGGTGGACCCTCTGAAGAGAGCCACAATCAAAGACATAAGGTTAGAGGCTCACTGCAGCAACACTGCCACTCATACACTGAAATACTATAATCATTTGCAGATTTCCAAAGAGGAATTTTGGCGCAAAATTTCCCCAACAAAATGTAAAGACAACAGCAGTCAAAAGTGGCCACACCTGGTTGAATGTATGTGTTCATCAGGACACTTGAAAATTGTTTCTAAGAAAAATATAATAAATAAATAAATAATTTTTTAAATGCTCCCCCCAGAATAGCATAGCTCCTCACGAAGCTGTATGTGAGAATATGCAAATACAGTTAGTGAGCAGAAATAGTTTTGCTTCATTTAACACCTTTTTGGTCACTGCATAATTCCATATGTGCTAGTTTAGGATTTAATATCTCCACTATTGTTCTAAAAAATTAAAAATATTTGTAGGTTTTTTGTATTTTTTATATTTTATGAGTTGGTGTGTCCAAACCATTGACTGCTGCTGTATATCATTGCTTCAGATTTGAATGGTCTGCATTCACCCACAGCTTTTATAAATACACTCCCTAATAGGAAACAGTAGGAGTTCTTAAGGATGTTTTAACTGTGTTCAATTTAGAGAGCATGAGTGGTTTAAGCAGGACCTGCCTGGCTACCTGTTTCCTGAGGACCCCTCCTATGACAGCACGGTGGTGGACGAGGAGGCCGTGCGGGAGGTGTGTGAGAAGTTCGAGAGCACAGAGGCGGAGGTTCTCAGCAGCCTGTACAGTGGAGACCCCCAGGACCAGCTGGCAGTAGCCTACCATCTCATCATTGACAACCGCCGCATTATGAACCAGGCCAGCGAGTTCTACTTAGCCTCCAGCCCCCCTACAGGCTCCTTCATCGAGGAGGGCATGCCCCTACCCCCGGGGGTAAAGCCCCACCCCGAGAGGATGCCCCCACTCCTGGCTGATAGCCCAAAGGCCAGGTGCCCTCTGGATGCCCTCAACACCACTAGGCCCAAACCTCTGGCTGTGAAAAAGGCCAAGTGGCACCTCGGGATTCGCAGTCAGAGCAAGCCCTACGACATCATGGCTGAGGTGTACCGCGCCATGAAGCAGCTGGAGTACGACTGGAAGGTGAGTGGACATTAAGCACATATTGTATGGACAGACACCTTATCACCTTAAATTGCTTGCACACACTTCTATAACTTAAAATAGTTCAGTCTGCTTGGATTGCCTTCAAAGTGTATTTACAGAATAATACACCATAGGAGGTAATAAGACTTTAAGGGACTCAAGGAGTAGTTTGGCCAAGGCTCTAGCCAATAAGCCAACGTGTTTGGTTTCTGAAGTTTGCTTCTTTAGTTCTATGAAGCTGAAAAAGTATCAAGAAGCCAATTTAGCTTGAAATGGAAGCTTATAGCTATAAGTGTTCATTGTACAGTCTGCAAGCCTGAATCATCACACTTACCCCAAATTGTGTCAGTTATATACTTGCTTATGTGGTTTCTGGCATTGTATGACAAACTGTCTATAAAATTGACAATAATACAGCCTTCAAGGTGTCTGGTATTAGATATGCAGCATACTTTTGTTGACAACTCAGATGATATTCGCTTAGTTTTCAAGATAAAACTTGAAGCAAGAATTGACATTGAAATATATTGGTATGACTGTCTATAATGCCTCAAGCTTTCAAGGCATTATTTTTGCCTAGTTGATGCAAAGAATACACAGTTCACCCCTTGCAAGATTGTAGGTGGCTATGCATGTTCAATAAGAGCAGTTGCTGAAGGTTTTGTCTCCACTCTAGGTGGTGAACCCCTATCACTTGAGGGTTCGCCGGAAGAACCCAGTAACTGGTAACTTTGTGAAGATGAGCCTGCAGCTCTATCAGGTGGACAACCGAAGCTACCTACTGGACTTCAAGAGCATTGATGGTAACTGCTCATTCTTTATGAGATCAGGATACATAGCAAACAACACGGAGGGTAAAATGATGGAAATAGGACCATAACCTAACAAGTTTAACTGTTAAAAGAGCCCATATCATGGACACTAACCTTTCTAAACAGGCTGTTTGGGCTTCATCATGGTTGTGACATCACAAAGTCCTGTGTATTTACATAGGTTTGCCTATTATTATAGGTTGTTATGGGTTTTTCTGATGCCTCTGAGGATTGCTCTGTGAAGTTACCAGTTTGTACCGTACATTACTGCTTTTAGGAGAAGGCACAATGCAGGGCAGCCAATCAGAGCAGAGGTCTTTTACATAAAATGTGTTTTAAATGCAGAGGTTCTAAGCGATAAAGACTGAAAGTTGAACATTGTCATGTAAAAATGAATTGTTTTTGGTGTATAAACCATAAAAAAGTTTTAAGTGGGAAAAAATAATGTAAAAGACAAATGTAGAATAACAGCTTATTTAAAGCATAGAATTCAATCAATTCATCTTTATTTATACTCTGAGAACTTTGAGGTTGACCCTTATATAATGTAGCCAAGCACTAGAATAAAGAACAAGAGATGGAAAAGAGTAATAAGCAAGATAATTAAAAGAGGAACCATAAAAACTTATTAAAATCAGTAAAAAGGGCAAAATATAATTGAAGCAAGTAAACTAGTAAACGTATCAAATCAAAATAAACAGCTAAAACTGAGTAAATAATAAAATAAACAATTTAATAAAACAGGTAGATTAATGAAACAAAAATAATAATGATAAGAAAATAAATCAATAAAAGAATGGATTCAATAGCAAAGAATTTATACCAAAATAAGAACTAATCAAGTTAAACTGGAACAGTTTCAGGCTGAGTAGAGATAGTTAGAGGTAAATACTTTAAAATAGTTGAGTGGCGAGAGGTGCTTTATAATATCCTGCAGCTAGAAGCTTTTCCCAGTTCAGTAAAAGCTCTCAGCACCTGAAGGGCAGTGCAGTCACTGGAACACTGATAATCACTGTTACTTACAGTGAGCACTGACGTGATGTACAGTTATCAGAGTTCCAAAGTGTTCATCACATCCTCTCCCTTCTGTCTCCTCCAGATGACATCATTGAGCAGAAATCCGGCTCGTCCACTCCCCAGCGCTCTGGCTCGGCCGCTGGCCTCCACCGGCCCCGCCTCAGCATCGACTCTGCGACTGTTGCCGTGGAGATGCCGCAGCTGAGCAGCTCTCTGCCGGGCTCTCTGCATGGCAGCACGCCAATGCTGGCACCGCGCCAGGGCAGCCACACCATGGACTTCTTTGAGATGTGCGCCAGCCTCATCACCACACTGGCACGCTAAACCACACACACACACACACACACACACACACACACACACACACACACTCACACACACACACACTCACACACTCACACACACACACACTCACACAGTAACTGAAAGCTCTGAGGAAAATAGGACTTAAGGATCGTGGCCTTTCGAGCAGGGGTCACACGTAAGTCACACCTTCTGTAGCATCAGCCACCATTACATTTCACTCACATGCAGTCAGCCATGATAACGTCTCTCCAGCATAGCAGCACAGCATCCTGAAGCCTTTTCAGGCCGCAGAGTCCTTCATCTGTAGTTTTTTTATATGTAATGTTTTGATAATACTGATTATGTTATACATGTATTATACAGCCTATTTATATGCTCATATTGATCACATTAGTCGAACTGCTGTTGATTGCGATAACATACCAAAAAATTTAAGTTTATATGCATACAAAGAGAGGATGATTATAATTTTATTAGATATCAGATTATTTATTTTTCCGAGATTCTTTCACGGTATTTAGTTGCATTATTTAAGCACTAACTTGTTGAGTGAGGAATTTAATTGCAAGTGTTCTGAACAATGGCTTTTAGCGATAAGGCAATACAAGCATGGAGAGCACTATTAGCAAACATGCAAATGCTGAATCCCACCAAATACGCTCCACTAGCTTAAAGCACAAAACCTGCAACCTCTACTGCTTTGCTCGCACTGGCAAAGACAGAACTGCGGACGCTAGTCTGCATGTGCACGTATTCCAATGATTTTACAGTTACAACTAAGTTTGATTTGTTCTCCATGATATTCAGTTTGTGCTGAGGAAGGGCATTTTCACTATTAAGTGCTGTGCCTCGCACCAGCCTTTTCTCTCCGCCTATTAGTCATGTCACCGACTCTTTGGGGTAGGTGTGGTATTGCGTAATTAAGCCTTAAATCGTGTTCATTTCCCGCTATGAAAGGATGTGCTAGGCAGGGAAAGGCTAGCCAGAGCCTAAACATGGTGCCTTGTTATAGCTAAAGGTGGCAGAAAAGAACGAGGGTGGGGGAGATTGATTGAACGCTTTGTTCAGCTGAGTCTCAGACTCCACACTGCACCACACATTGGCCTTGGCCTCAAGGAGGAAGCGCAGTATAAGCAGCCACAAAGCCTGATAGTCTGAACCCAGGCCAGAAAGAGACAGATTTAGAGTGTGAGAGATGAGGGAGGGAGGCGGAAAAAGAGAGAGAGAGAGAGAGAGAGAGAGAGAGAGAGAGAGAGAGAGAGAGAGAGAGAAAGAGAAAGAAAGAGAGAGAGAGAGAGAGAGAGCGATAGAGAGAGGTGCAGTACTGTGCAAAAGTCAGAGACCACCCTTAATTTATTTAACTGAAATAAATACATAAAGTACAAGTTTTTCACTTTTCAGGAGATATATCGTATATCTAATCTCAGATAATTCACTTGCATAAGAAGTGGAGTTTAAAAAATTAAAGTTAAGAGATAAAAGATGCAGGGAAAATGGGACACCCTAACAACCATGCAACGCCGGGTAGACCACCAAAACTCAAAACTTTCACCATCAGACAGTAATTAAAGCTTTCATTTTCAAGAAACAGGACAAAATCAAGCTCTATGCTTGGGTCAGATCTGAAAAAAAATCCACAGGTGTTTCTGTCCATCCTTTCACTGTGAGAAGACAAGTCAGCAGCATGAACACACTCAATATTGTGGGTATGAAAGGATGTGTAACTGTCAAGAAGCCATTACTGAGAAAAGTAAATAGACAAAGAAGAAAATTTGCTAATCAAACAAGGAAGATGCTGGTGTTCTCAGAACAATGGACTGACCACCCCAGAGTCTAGACCTTAACATCACTGAATTAATGTGGATCGTGGTCTGAGATTGAACTTTTGTGTGGAACAATATTTCTAGTTTCTTAGAAAAACTGAAAGCGAGTCTCCCAAAATGAATGGGAGCTGTAATGAGGGCTAGGAGTGGTCACACTAAATACTCACATTTTTTTAATATCATATTTAGTTGTTGAGGCCTTTGTCTAATTTTGTGTAAAATGTTTTCCAGCTAAAAACTTTTACTGGATGGCTGTTTTAAATACACATGAAATAAATGTAGGGTGGTCTTAAACCTTTGCACAGTACTGTATCCAGAGAGAAAAGAAAGAGAGAGAAAGTGAGCAAACCAGCAAGAGAGAGAGAGAGAGAGAGAGAGAGAAAGTCAGAGATGAAATCTGCTTATATGTAAACCATATCAGAATAGTTATACTTTGGCAGTTTATTTAAGCAACTATATTGTTTTGATGGTTTTTATGTTCCCCCTATAAATATATTACATTGAACATGTAATTGGGGTGTATTTGGTGACACCTGGCAACGAAACTAAAGCCACAAGCATTGAATAGTTAAAACCATGCACACCTTCCTCTAATGCCTTAAACGGAACACGTACCCTTTTGTCTCTGATGGATTATACTTCAAGATGTTTTGTGCGTGTGTGAACGTGTATGTGTGTGTGCGTACATTAAGTAGACCTATTTATTAGATGTATATTTATTTAACCTCACTTCTGGAATGTTACAGGCCCCTTGGTGATTTGCTAACCAGGGCTCTGGCTACTGTTAAACGAATGATATCTTGAAGAGGTACAACAGGAGTTCAGGAAGGTGATGTGTTGTAGTTTCCTTGTGCCAACGCCTCATGTGATTAGACCACAATGTAGCCAGGAGGGAAAAAGAACACGGTATGAACTTAGAGTCGCATTTCTTAAACAGCTGAATACCATGACTTTTTCCTCATGCGCAGTAACTTTGTCCTGAAGGAAAATTTGGTTATAAACCAGTGAACATGCAGAAATTCTATCAGTCATCTGATCTGTTCCTTAATGGAAAATAACAAACGGAGTATCCAAATGTAACGTCTCTGCCTAAACGCAGGCCTGTTACTAGGGTAGTCACTCCATTACTCTCTTGGACAAACAAACAACTTATTAACAACTTGTAACTGTAGTATTCTTAATGGAGGTGTCTTTGTGGATGAGGTGGTCTTCCTGAACTTTCCTGGTCCTCTTGTCTTTGTACTGTAACCGAGAAGGGAATGGCTTCTGGTGAATGCATGGCGTTTTTTTTTTTGTTACTGTGTTACGTGTGCTCTTGCTGTTACACAATGCAGCTGCAGTAAATCAAAGCACCATTCATAACTGAATGTAATAAGCAAGTCACAAACAATGAAGTGCTGAAACTCGAAGCAAGCGAGGAAAAGTCGAGCCGAGCAGCGATGACAGGAGTTTTGATGTCTGCAGAAAGATGAGAAAATGACTTTGTTTAGGAACGAGGTGCAGACATGGTTTTCTTTTCAAACTTTGTTTAAACGGAGGGGTCACAGTGTGCTCAGGGCTGTTGCCTTTTATTGGCGTGCCACTAGAAATGTCTCTGGATTCCGTTGAGCCTTGCTGGGCCATGGGCCGAGAACCTGGTAGAGCACATTCTTCACATATACTCTCTAATAAGTAAGTGGGGGGTGGCGTTACCATAGAGATCTGTGCACCTTCTTAGAAAACTGTTCTGGCAAAAATAATAGGGATATATGCTGCCCCCTACTGCTGAATAGATAACATTACACTATATATCATAGATAAAATGAACAGTTATAAGAGAAATGAATGGGAGTATTTCTGGGTTAACCAAACAACTTAAACCCAAAGACAAGCTAATGGGCTAATGTTCTGCATTCTTTTGGCTTAAGTTATCCAGCTTACTGAGAAATCCTGCATAATCCTGTGAAATTCCACCAGAGGATATTTTCAAAAGCTCAGCTAGACAATTTAAACCCCAGCTCGAGCCTGATCAATAGCAGAAGTCATAAGACAGAAGGGGGTGGGGGCTTCTCAGTTAACCAGATAATTTGAGCCAAAAGTCAAACTAATAGGAGAAGCCAGTGACATTCTGTTGGCCAGTCCTCACTTTTGGCTCAAGTTGACCAGCTCACTGGGAAATCTTGCAAAGTTATGATACTAGCAGCTTTGTTTAAGAGAGCAAAAAGTAAGTATAGGTTATTTTCCAAGACAGTTGTTTCACTACCAACAGTTTTTTTCCCTCTATTATGGGCATTTTAGTAATGTTTGCTGTTTCCTACACAACATGCAATCAAAACTCAATGACAATAATACTCTCAGCGTGGCAACCAAATTCCAATCTGAAATGCAGTGTCAGTCAATGCAACCAAAGTGTCTGCAGTTGTCACTTTAGTTCAGTTTGCTGTCTGTCTAAAGAGTTTTTGCTGCCTATTATGGTGTTGTGTAAGTGTATGTAATGTTTCTGCTGTGAGACAGTGTTCTCAGTAACTCTGTCTATCTGTCTATACATGTGAGTGTATCTCTTGGTCTGTGCGCGTGGTTTGTTTTTTTTTTTCACAAATTATGCACTGCATGGTGTTCCTGTTCTGATTTGCACTTTATTATTTATTGTACAAAAAGAGAAGTAAATAGAGAAAGTATATGCATACTGTGTTGTGTTATTATCAGTACATAAATATGGTCATGCTATGCTATTACGAGTCATCACAACTAGAGGAGGAAAAGGTAAATTCATATCAATGCATCAATCTTTTTTTTTCTATTTTTTATTCTTAAAAATGTTTTATAAGTACTGAAAAAAACAAATAAACAAATCTGGCTGCTGCATTATTCACATAGCTGTAGTAGCCTGTGGTTTCAGAGCCATTTTGCTGGTACTCTTGCAATATTATGGTAAAAAGGCACCGGTAGGACTGTAATATATCAAAGAATTTATGAATTTAGGGTTCTAATGATCAACAAATTTCACTATGTGATAGGTAGTGTGGTTTTTGCACCATAATACAATATATATTATAGAAAAAAATAAAAAGAAATGACAGTCATGTTGCTTAGATAGTGGTATGTAAGTTCAAGAACCCCTGGTCAAATGACTTGTTTTGTATTTTTTTTTTGTGGAAATACATCTGTACAGGGAATATCACACGCTTTTCTGCAAATTTCATGATAAATAGACCAAAAGAAATGGCCAAAAATGACTTGGAAAAAAATCTGGTTCTATGGACTTACATTAAAAGTAGTTTTTTTTCCTTTTCCTGTAAAGTTCTCATTTTGGAGATGAGGTTTTGTCCCAACAACAGTGAGATTGGACGTGTTGGCTTACTTTTACTTAGAACGTCAACAAAACATGTAATTGAACCAGGAGTGTCCAAACCTTTGCATATGACTCTATTCTTGTTCAAAGTCCAACTGCCAAAACATGACTGCAGCATGTGGTGACAGTATTAATTAATACATTTTCTTAGAAGACAAATAAATTTGGTTTAAAAGGTTTTGAGTGCAGCACAAGGGAGTTCTTTTCTTACTTGCATGGCTATTTCACAAATATCATGGAGTGTTTTTAATAGAACAGTGGAAACTATTCAATTTCCATATGTGATTCACAGCGTGTATTGTCTTGCAACCTCCATATCAGAAAGAATAATATCAATTTGCATATCATAACACATGCTAATAAAAATAAAATTTTTCCTTCATATATTGATATGACATCAAAATATAAACCCAAGCTGTTCAGCCCTAGTCTCAACTCTTGGTAACATTTAGAAAAAAACACTTTCCAGTCCTGGGGTCCCTCTGAAATGCGCTTTTTAGATTGAACCCATCAGCTAGTTACCAAATCTATTCGTCCACCAACTGTGCACTGGAGGGATGTTCCACAGAAAAATAGTACTTTTGGGAATCCACCTACATTCTTCATAACAGACATCCAAAATTCATTCAAACGGGACCATTAAAGCACTTCAGACATTTAACATAACACCACATGGATTTAATAACGTAATACATAAATGGAGATTTGAAAATGATTGTAATACTATCAAAGCTCAATCAACTCAGCTTTCCCCCAGCAGTGAGTATCCTCTGTAAGAACTGTGTGCTGGGAATACTTCAATCGAGTCTTGCGCTCGCAAAGTAGCTAACAAAATAAACCAAGAAAATAAACTGAAAATGGTTCAGGATAATAAGTCTTAGAAACAAGAACGGATAATATACTTCAGCTGAAATAACCATATCCAAATTAAATCCACTCAGGACAGCGTGACACAAGTGAAAACGCCCAAGTGAAGGAAAGGAAGTGATAACGTCATGCCACCAGCAATTTATACTTCAGCACACAAAGCTCTTCTTACATAAAACAGCAATTAAAGGAAGTCCTGCCTTTAACCACGCGTACACCAGGCGCATATCCACATATCATGTTTCTACACACCTCGCAACATTCTTTCAGAGCAGTTGGGGGCAAGAGTTCCAGTGGAGTTTTTTCACAATGCTCCTTCAGACACTGCAAACCATACATGAGTAATTTGTTGACGAAGTCATTAATGGCTGGTCCTGATGGGTGCAAACTCTTGGTGCACCCTCGCAAAACATCCACTGTGGATCAACTGTTGAAGAAAGAGGACAAAATATTGTAAATATCAAGCAGAATATTTTTGCATAATAGTATTTAGACCGTATTTAGGTTTATGACTGCCAATCACTACATGAACCCTTAATCTGTTCTGGATATTGTACACCGGTATTACACTATACTGAATTCCTCACCTGCTATGTTGTCACATTTAAGGCTGAATTCACCTTACAAGCCTTATTCCTTAATTATGATTTTTCGCTCAGATCTGATCTTTCTGCCTTCATGTTTCACATTCTTAAGTTTTTAGTGTCTACCACAAATAAAGAACTAGCAGTGTTTTGCCTTCATTGCAAAGATTCTTAGTTCTAAACAGCTCTCAGCCATTCATGATTAGGGAAGAGGGTGTAAAAGGTCAGACACTGTAATGTTTCTAAAAGAACAGTTGTAGTTTTGTGCACTTTTCAGAAAGTGTCCATGTGTGTCCTATTTCTCAAAAATGCAAAAGCCCAATGCACAACACCACACCAAATGGACACTAAATGTACACAATACACACCCACTATACATACACTATAGGTTTCCCAAAACAAGTTTTGAAGTGGTACTGGGCTAAGTATGCACTAAATCCCACGGATGATCGTACTGTTGACAGTCTAATACCCTCTTTTGGAAATTTTCAAGGAAGCACGTAACTTCGGAAACTGCTTGTCCCACAAACATTCATATATATATATATATGTATGTATCCCCATGCTTGTGGTTTTAATGAGTACTTGCTCACTTTTGATCAATTTGTAAATATGTCACATTAGTGTACACTTAAGCAAAAACACAAACTTCAAATGTGGACTTTGGACAGCCGATAGCTTCTGCTGCCATGCTGTGAACAAAGAAAGATGATAGTGCTATGTGCATGTACAGAGGCAAAACAAACAAAAACCCACTAAAAATTCCTATCTAATTATTCTTCTTATTATGTGGGATGGCCACAAATTGGACATGTAGACAACCCCAAAAAAAAACAAAAAACACTGTCAGTTCAACTTAAAAATAAAAAAACACATAATTTAAATGAAAATAATATTTAATATCAGTTCAAAAATGTAAAAAAAATAATTTCAAAAACACTTCAAATAATCTAAATATGATGTATGTCCAAACAGTTCTAAAAACATCAGATCTGTGTCACCTTAAGGCAAAAATGGATTTTGTCACTTCAACTTGACAACACACTGTATATTTAACAGAATTATTAAATATCATGATCTGGTCATGATAAAGTAACATGAGCACATCTACTTCTGAAAATCTGTTTCTGATGGCTAGAACAGACTAGACTAGACTAGACTACACTAGATGGGTGGATAAACTTTTAACAGAGTTTTTGGTTTATCTCACCCTCTGTCTGATCTGAACACTTCTGTTTAATGTTCTTTGATCATAATTATCATAACTCATTTGTTTTGTATATTTCTGTGTTAATCAGTGTTAACCAGAAGAGGATGGGCCCTCCTCCTGGCAGATTGATTTTTATTTGTGACAACATCGGCAATAAAAAGAATGATACTAATAAACTTCATGAATATTTGCTCTATAGCAGTAGTTCCAACTCGGGTTGCCATGTAACCAGAACTCTACAGAGTGAAGACATTATTACATCTCCACTGCTGTAGCTACAGGCCGCACTGTCAAAGCTTTGGTCTGGTTAGATAAGTTTGGTTAAATTATACAATCTTATCTACATACTTGCAGTAGATGACCTAAGATTCCCCAACGACGATGTCTGCGTACAGGTCCGGGGGAGGAAGTATCTGCAGATCTACATCCTGTTTATCTCTTTATAAGATTAAAGGAAAATAGAGAAGAGAGCCATGTAGATGCAGAGCCAGTGCATGACACAACCAGCAGGAGCATTTACACATTCTACATGCTGAACCAGTCTGACTGCATACCACAGCAGAAGAATTACACAACACATGGATGGAGAGTTTGTACGTGTACAAATGCGCATGTGAATGTCAACATTCCGAGAAAACTTACTCGCTTACTGCTTCCTCTGTATAGATAAGAGAAAGGGTAAAACAAGAAAAGTAATGTTAGTTAAAATCCTAAAACAGAGAACTTTTATTTTTTTAAATTATTTTAATTATTTCAGCTTCATGACTTGTGAAAGTCTCACCTGGCTCTGCTTCTTCAATTCTTCATGCACAAACATAAGAGAAAAGAGAAGAAAACATACTTTCAGATTTTGCCATGCATTTTACATTAAAGTGACTGTTTGACTACTTTCACAGCAATTGTGATTCTCTAGCAAGGCAGGAGAACCAAGTCTTACATTGTGTTCCTTTTCAGTGTAGCATGATCAGGCGTTTTAGGCTGAGCAAAGAAGCTAGCCAGTTTCTGAAGTGCTTCCTGTCTTGTTCTGCAATGCGCACAAATGCAAGATAATTAAGATAACATACACAGATACACGACAAGTCCAGACATGGGCATGCTGCAGTGTTTGAGTTTGTTTTGAATTTGGTAGACAGCAGAAGTGAAATTTAACCCCAAATGCCCCAAAATAAACTGTTAATAAAGAGAACATGCAAAATTGGTACTATTTATACTACTACTACTAATAATAATAATTGTCATTTATAGTCCTGTGAAAACATCTTAGGCAGGCAAAAAAACAGTTTAGAACTATTTATCTTGGCAGCAAATGTGATTTGGCCATAACATAAATAAAAACAGAAAAACTTCATGAGAATATTTTGTTTTAAACATAACTGATTAATGTCTTGGTTTAGATTATAGTTAGAAGAACAAAGGTTTGGTTCCTGACTCGATGAACTCCAAACGCTGCATGGATTTGTGAAATTTTATTAGCAGCACTCCTTATTTAATTTAATGAAGAATTCATCAGCTGAAGCAGGTACTGGAAGAGCTCTAACACAATGACACAATGTATTGTTTACTTGTTTATTTGAATTTATTATTTAGTATTGTTTACTTGTTTATTTGAATTTATTTTAAGGCTATTGTTTCTAACAAATAAACAGCTACTGCCCAGATAAATGGCATTGTATATCATTTTTTAAGACTTTGTACAATGCTGTGCACAGCCTTTCTCAAAACCAATTTCACTCGACGGGAGGATCGTACACAAAAACATGCTTCAGTAACATCAACAATGAAGTCTTTTGTGTTTGCGATGTGTTTGCGATATCCATTTTTTCCCTGACGTAAAAAAAATATCTGTGCCATTTTGACAGGAAATTATATAAATAAAAGAGTGGACTTTTTCTGGATTTTTGCACAGAACTGTAGTTAAACATATAAGCAGATGTTCATGCACACAGTACAATCAGACATACATGAGATAATTCAGAGCAAATGAGCAGATGACAGACAGTGTGAAGGCTTTAGTGAGTGTAGTAAATCAGTCAGCGTGCCACTTACTGAACATTATCATTTGCGTCAATCTGTCCTTGCAGAACTGGCTCTTGTCTCACTGAAGCATAGAAAATGGTTTCAAAAAGAGCAGTTAAAAACAGAAAACAACAGAAGAAGTCAAGATCTGTTGCGTTAAAAGACAGCCCATGTTTTGGGGTCAGTGTGCAGGAAATTGAATAGAACACTTGCATAAATGTTCTAGAAGGAACTATCAACGGATGGTTCTGGTTCTACCTACCTAGCACTCAAGGTTTTTGTAACCAAGACCTCTACCGGTCTTATTTAGTTATACACAGAGCTTACAGTTGATGAGCAAGCACATTACAAGTCTGCAGGTCTAATTTACAGAGCATTTAATCTTATTCTTTATTGTGTCTTGCACGGATCTGAATCTGCCGTTGTGTGTCAATGAATGTATGAATTAACTGTTTCAGGGGAACAAGTAACCACAGCTTCTAGACGTCTTTATACAAATGATGCAATTAGAACAATAATCCTTTAAAGTTCTTTTAAAATCCCTTTAAAGTTGCACAATATGTCTTTTCAGTATGCATCATATCATGCTATGATCTTTCTGATTACTTCCCTCATGTCAGCATGACTCATGAAGATAGCTACAACAGAATTGACAAGAATTTGCTTCCTAACTGACTCACCCACATCCAGAGAAGACACTCTGTGATTCAGTTGTCTGAAAGATTGACAGTGATGATATTTTATCAGTGCAGGAGCATTGAAACACAAGATAAAGTACTTCTATGTTACTTAAGCAGACGAGATATTTTTAGGGCCAAACAACAAAGAAACACACACAAACACATTTTGTCTCAATACTTACAGATCTATGTCGTCAGTTGGAGTAAATACTGTATCATCATCATCATCACACCATTCCTCACTGTCATCTGTGACTAACACATAAACTATGGTCATTTTCATTTACACTCCAATCCCAAATCTTACATATCCATACAAGAAAGCAGCAAGAATTTATTTAAGAATCAAGAGCACCTAAATTATCAATTCAAATGATTTAAAAGCAAGTGGATTACTTTGGATTGCCCCTAGAAAAAGGCTGGACTGTATTTTCTCTCTTAGTTGTGAGCATGTCTTTAAATGAGAGATTCCATAATTCAATAGTTGAGATGTAACAGCCATTCAGAGTATTTTAATTTTATTTAATTTAATTTTAATGTAAATGGTTAATGAAATGTAAATGAAATGGTTCACTGCAGAAAAACCCTCCAACTCTGATTTCTCTACACTGGTGGTATAACCAGGGGTCATGATGTGCCCAAATATAGACTTTCTGTGAACTATTAAAAAAAAAACCATTAAATGTAAAGTTCATGAAACAAAAAAATATATATGTTTTTGGGGACGACTTTGCCTTACAATGCCCTGCACATACTCCACCACCATAAATACATTTTTAAAATAGGTGTCAGGCCAAAACCTCATCTCAGAACTATCATAACACAATGTTTGAGGCATCAGGCAGCATATTTGTTTATACAGCATACTTTTTTATGATAGCTTTAGAGTCATTAAATTCTCTAGATGTCTGATTCTTAGTACACAAAGCAGATTTCTCTAGAATGGAGCATTTTCACAACCACTCTGAATGAACTAAACAAAATTTGAACAAATTTTTGAAAAATCGGTGGAATTCCCCTTTAAGGACACACAATATTACACTTCCATGTGTTGTCGCATAAGAGAATTCAGTAAAATGAACTTACAGCTCTCTTGGTGCATAGCGTAAGGGTGTGAGGATCTGCACGCACAACAAATAGACAATAACAGGGTGGTTTTAACTTATGTGCAGCATTATAATAATATTATTATTACTACTATTAAATGAAGAAATAGACTAGATAATGTCGAGGAACAGGTTAGATAAAGATTAATAGACATTAATGTAACACATTTTACACACTACTTGCTATAATGGATTTAAGTCACTCTGGATAAGAGTGTCTGCTATATTAATAAATTAAAATGGAAATATGATCTGATCATGGTATGGTAACCTGCTGCCTGTGCTGGTGACCTCAGGGTCTATGAACCCATTGCTGTTAGGCGTGCTGGATGTTTTAGATCTCTTTCCCAGCTCCATCATCTCCTGAATATCCAGGTCCACACTCTTCACTAAGATATACCCGTCTGAAAGCAGTTACAAACACAGATAGATGACGCTAACTTCCGTTTCACAACTGTGGATCAACTCTGCAACTCTGTGTAAAGCCTTCACAGAAGATTAGTGTCGGTTGCAGCAAAGGGGAGACAAATGCCCCATTAATACTCTTGACATTGAAACAAACACTGGATGAGCGGGTGCTTACAAACTTTGGGACATGTAGTCCTTTCAGTAATTATTTAAACATCTTATTCAGTGCTGATTTCTGAAATGCTGAATGCATAAATGTAATTCATAAATGTAAACTGCCTGATTTACCTTATATTTGTACATATTAGTGGACATGATATTGGAGACAGCTGGACCCAACTGTGTATAGAGTAGATGATGTGCCATTTTCTGTTATCATTTCATGATGTTTTGAATTAGCTCTACATTTGATGTTTTGGGCTGACTCACATTTGTTGTTGCTATCCCTGGCCAGCCATTTTCCTTTAGGGCAGTCCGTGGTGCGGATAACGCTGACAGTCTCTCCAGCTTTTACGGCCAGGTCATCCTTGCGGCCTTTAAAGGTCTCCCTCACCTTAGCTTGATACAGCGCCTCTTCCTCTCCTGTGATCTAAAGATAGAGGAGGGGGAGAACAAGAGACAGAAAGTGGGGGCAAACAGAGAAACATTCTCAAGACGGATGTGTTAAATAGAAATACAACACATTTAGTGTTATGGTTTACAAATGTGCAGGTCCAGTCAAGAAGAACATATTCTAGTATATAGTAATGTAGTATACATTTGATATTGCTTATAACACAATCATTTCTGTGTTAAAGATATGATGTGTTCTTGTGGTCTGAAAAAAAATAATGGGAGGAAAAAAAAACATGAAGTCAAGAAAAGTGCAGTGTCCATAGTTCCACCACTGCATTCTCTTACCTTGAATTTTTTCTTCATTTCATTTTCCTTCTTCTCCTTCTCCTTCTGTTCCCTCTTCTCTCTTTCCTTCTCTTTCTGCTCCTTCTTTTCTCTCTCCTTCTCTTTCTGCTCCTTCTTTTCTTTTTCCTTGTCTTTGAGCTCCTTCTTTTCTTTTTCCTTCTCCTTGTGCTCCTTTTCTTTTTCCTTGTCTTTGAGCTCCTTCTTTTCTTTTTCCTTCTCTTTGTACTCCTTTTCTTTTTCCTTGTCTTTGTGCTCCTTCTTTTCCTTCTCTTTGTGCTCCTTCTTCTCTTTTTCCTTCTCTTTGTGGTCCTTTTCCTTCTCTTTGTGCTCTCTCTTTTCTTTTTCCTTCTCCTTCTGCTCCTGCTTTTCTTTTTCTTTCTCCTTCTCCTTCTGTTTCTCCTTTTTCTTCAGTTCCTTGTCATCCAGGCTTGCAGTCTTTCTGTAAATGCAGAAATTGGATATAACATCACTATGACTTAAGCTTACAGCCCCAACACAGCAATAGAAATGACAAGAAGACTGATACATACTTGGAAAACAAGGTTTTTCTGGAAATCTCCTCATTCTGAAGACAAAGACATTTGATGACGTGAAAAAAATCCATTACACCAGTAAACATGTTACTTGTGAGGCCAGGAAAAGTCTAGAATATGACTTTATAAGTATGTTTATACAACTAAAGACAATCATAGACTAAAGTAAATAAAATTTATAACCTTTCCTTGAGCTTCTACTCAAATATTATAGCAGTAACTTAGATTAATATAACAGAAAATATCACATGAAACAATAAATAAACCTTTACACCAGATAATACATACTTTATAAAGACTCTATATATGGATAAAGACAAGGATGAAAAAAGCACTCACCGCAGCAGGTGAATCATCATAGGGATCTACAAATAAAGAGAAAGAGATAAGTCCAACATCATGGCAAGCAAAACAGAAACACCCCAAACAATCCGCTTTCTGTGAAACTGACATAAGTGCAGACAGACATCTAACATCTTTTAGCTGTTTCAGTGGGTCAGCGGACCATCAGAGAAGAGATCTCTATACGGTAAGTTGTGTGGCAAAACTAGAGCCAGATAAAGGACAGAAGAGATATCTGTAGGCTGCATAATAAAACTATAGCCTGACACATTACACCAAAACTACTGTAGTTACTCTGATATGCTGAAAGTCTTGAGGAAAACAATGTGTTTCATACTCATAAGAACTCCTTTGCGTTGTTTCTTTAGGGTTTTACTTTTCTTGTTGGCTGCAGGGTCTTCATAGACATTGTCACTGCCGTTGTAGTTTATCTCCGGTGTCCTATGGAGGGATCAAAATACTTGTTTAGAAGCACATGTGAATAGTTCTGGCTGGTAAAAAAAACATCTTATAAATCTTGTCCACAAAGATGAATATACAATTTAGATACAGTTTCTTAACAAATGATATGAATCACCCTAATGAATTACCCTGATGGAGACAGGATAACAGGAGAGTCTGGTGCTGAATCTGGAGGTCCTTCTGCCTTCTCAAGCTTAAAATCTGTGCCTGTGGTTTCTACATTTGGAACAAACTCCTTTGAACTCTGATGTTCTGGACTTAACTGTTCCAAAAATGCTTGTTCATGAACTGACAATGTGGGATTTCCATATTCGGAAACTGATGCTTGTGGAGGATCAACAGCAACAGCTTCAGATGAACCGTCTACCTCCGAATCATCAAACGTCAAATTCTGTGAGACAAAATCCACTGGAGCTGGGATAATGATCCCTGTAACAAATTCAGATAAACCATGTCAACACAGATTTATTTCCTATAATATCTGTACCAAAGCCTAGAGCTATGGAGTCAAGCTCAGAGAGTTGATAAAAGATTCTCAAGTCAATAACAATATCAGATACTTGAACTATTTTTCTTTAATCTCTATAAACAAAACACACAAAACATCTTCAGGACAGTAGTGGAGAGATTAAAGACCAGAAAAAAAAAAAAGTGATCATAAGAAAGGATTTTATGATTTAAGGCAGTTCTACCATTGGCCTCTACTGGTTGAGCTGGTAAAATGGTCTGCAAATCTGCACTTATGGCACGGGGTGGTTTCTCCGGTGCAACACTTAAGCTGGACGCAGGCGGAAGGGTCATTCTACGAGGAGGTGGAGGAGGCGCAGTCTTCATCTTAGGACGGCTCTGCTCAGTCCGCACTTTCGGGACAGGTGAAGCATCCCCTGAAGAGAGGAGAGGCAGAAAAGGTTAATAAAATGGATGTTAGAGATTGTATACACAGAACCCAAAACCACTCAGCTAGGTGTGGATTAACTTTCAACCACATGGTATATCAAAATATCTGCTAGGTTTTAGAGATCCAAGACTCCAGGCAAAATGGTGGAATAGCTGTTAGCCGAAGGTAATGATACACAAAGTCGAGCCAACCTGCTCAATTAGGCTAATCATCCAATTTGTGGACAAAAATGAATCAGTATGTTTATCATGGAACTGAGCCATTGGGGAGTCCTATAGAGGAATGCTTCAATGCTTGTTGTAGACATCTGAGTATTAGTTAAGGCATTGTGCTTAAAAATGTTATTGACAAAAGCAGCTCTTGCAGGTGACTCATAAATTTCCTTGAGATGCAACATTGCTCTACCTCTCAGTCATTCGGACTATGAGAGACATGCTGCACTGCACAACCACAATAGGGTTTGTTACATGCCTCACATACCGACCCTCCCCAAAGCATGAAGAGTTTTCACTGCAACTCAAAAGTGTAAGCACTGCAGCTACCACCTACAGTCTGTTTATGAACCATTTTTATGGGTCATCCACAGTTCTTAAAATATTAGGAGGCATACACAGTTGTATGAACACAAGCACATCACCATATTTCTAATAAACTTGGGCACAGTAATAAATAACTGTTTGTCCTTATGAGGCTCATCTGGAATTATAAACTGACAAGATGAACCACAAAGGTATAGTCAGTTTATGCACTTACTTTGATCTAGGCCATTGGTCAGGGCTGTTTTAGATGTAGGGGGCTTTGACTCTACTGTGGCTACCTCTCCTGCTCGGTCCTCATAGTCAACTGGGGGGATATCAAGAAGGGACACGACAGGAGTTTCAGGGCCAAGTGAGGCTTCCACAGGCAGAACCGGCTCAGCTTGGGCTTCCTCAGCTTGTGGTTTCTCAGGTACTGAAGACTCAGGTGGAGCAACTGCAGGTGGGGCTGTCTCCACTGAGGTCATAATTTCAGGTGTGGCAGGTGTGGGCATCTGATGGTTCACCATATGCTTTCTCCTAGCCTTTTCCAGAAGGTTAAGCAGTCGCTGATCACAATGGTTATGCCTGACGGGGGCCATCTCCTCAGCTCTTGCTAGAGCAGACAAGGCTGAAATGTTTTTGGATGAAGTGGATGGAACCTCAGGTGTATCCTCTGTTTGGCCAACCACCTCATGAAATTCAGCCATTCCATTTTCTTGCAGTGGCTTTACATCTGGAGCTGGAGATGGCAATCTTGGAGGAGTACTGGAGACAGGGGCAGCATCTGAATTTGGGATTACTGTTCCTGGAACCAAGGTACCTGGAGGCTCAGGAGTGACTGAGGCAGAAGCAGCTGGGACAGGGGAGGCTGAGTGGGACAGATCTGGACTGCTGGAAGCTGGATCAGAAGCAACCGAAGGAATAGAATCGGGAGTACCTGGGGGAGGGATATTTAGGGCAGGAATGTCTGCATCAGGAATGTCTCCATCAGGAATGTCTGCATCAGGAATGTCTTCAGGAATAAGTGGAGGAGGAATATCTATATCAAGGATATCAGGGATTTCTGGAGAGTGGGCTACTTCCTCTGGCAAATAAACATCTGGCTGTGGATTCCTATTTGTAACAGGAATTTCTGGCTTTGAGGTTTCGAGGTGAGGACTAATCTGGGAGACGATGTCAGGTTCTGGAACTGTCAGCACAGGAACTTTTGACGCAGGAACTACACGAGGAGAAATAACTGGATCAGGAATAACAGCAGCTGGACTAATGGATGCTGGAGCAGCTTCTGCTTGAACTGGGGGAGCGAGAGATTTTGGAGCCACAGGTTCACTAACTGCAGGAGATGCACTGACAGGAGTGGAACTGCTGGGACCAAGACTTTGAAACACAGGGGTAGCTGGTAAAGCGCTTTCTGAGGTGTCTGTCTTCTCTTCCTCAGCTTTGACCGGTTTTTTAAAGTTGAATACACTCTTCTTCTTAGGTGTGGAGATTTTGACTGGAGATGCCAAAGCTGGAGAAGCTGGGACAGGATCAGGTTTGGGGGTCTCCTGAATGACCGGAGTAACAGGACTCACGGGCAGAACAAGGGGAAGCTTCTTGTCCTTCAGGGCTTGTTTGATGAGATCACCTTCCTTTTTCTGTTTCTTATCCAGCAACTCAGGATGTATATGGGGGTCTTTCTTAAACTCTACAGTGTCAGACTGGGAAAACTGGCGCTTGACAGGGCTCTTTTTCTCATCTTTAAAGACCACACGAGGGGCAAGTGGCATGCGATTCTCCATGATGGTGGCAATCAGGGGATTGCTAATTTTTGTGGTGGGGGAGGTAAGAGATTTGGGTTTTTCTGGGATGGCGGGTTTGGTTCGGATCTTCAAAGCCTCAGGATTCTGGAACTTAGACCTCAAGGTCTTAAAGTCCACCCCTTCACCCTGCAGAGTGATAGAATCAAGTGGGCAGATCAGGAAAATGATTTCTTACAAAGTAAAAGTAAAAAACAACTGTCACTGAGTGAGTAATTAATGCAGTAACTTGTTGTTTAGACATAGACAGGAAGTTTCCCTTCTAAAATTCATTTTAGTAAACAACCTCAGAGACATTCTCATAATCAGTAGATTTCACAACTGACATTCCAAATAACTAGAGGGCACAAAATATAACCATTTTTCATATCAGTCTCACTCAGTTATTTAGTCATTGTATAACTAAGAAATACATAGCACTACATGGCACATAGTCATAATGCATATTACAGGAAACATGGCATGATTAAAGAAACATTATGTCCATCACAAAC